TGGGTCACTAGAGCAGCACTCCTGCTAGGAGTCAGGGATCAGACGGCTTTTCAGAAGTAACCAGGTGAGCACTAAGAAAGACAAAAAGCACGATCGAGACCAAGGATGTAGGGAGCAAAGGGAAACTTTTGCCCAGAGTGGCCTATACCTTGGCTTTGCTGGCTACACCTGTATCATTCTGTAGTATGGATATGCCCTGTCAGGCAGTCTGAGCACCAACTCAGCAGCCGCAGTTGGACAGAGCTGTAGCATACTGATGTGTGGTCTGCTTTAGAACAAGAATAAATCCCTCTCTAGCACTAGCCCGCTGTAAGAAGTGTTGCCTCAAGTAATTATGTGATGTTGTATGTATGATGTTTCTAGTGAGACACAAAAAAGCCCACTATGGGTCATACTGTGCCTTGTCCTAAGCAAGAATCTGACTTAGGGTGCTAAATGCAAATATATTTGGTGGAGTTACTCCTCGTGTGTTTTTGAAACTGTGAATAATGCTTACATTTCAGGAGATGTAATCCCTGAAGTAGATTAATAGCATGCAAAATGTCTTTGTTAAATTAAAAACTGCCTTCTTGTTTCTGCTAAGGAATGCAAAACAGCTCTCAGAAAAAGGAAGAACATTCTGCTGCCCAGTTGCCCACCTCCAACTGTTTAAATCTGAAAAGCAATTGAGTAGAAGTGTTAAAAAGGGGGCCTAGTGTGTACAGCCTGGAAAGAGGAAAACAATCCGGCAGCTGCCTCGTAGGGGTTTTCCATACCATGCTTGAATCAGAGGGGTGGAACTACAGTCTGTGAAAATTGAAGCTTCTAGCAAATCTTCTGTTTTCTATTCCCTTATTTGTTGAAACAATCTTTGTAAAGGGAGTTACATGGAAGAGTACAGCAGCCTTGGTGAGAAGCCCTTATTCTGCAAGAGACTGAATCCGCTGAGGGTGGAGGATGATTCAACCCACTCTGCTCAGTTGAATCAACTTAACGTGCCCACAGAAACAGTTGGAAAGGGTGAATCCTGTAAAGCAAAGAATGTATTTGTGCTGCAGTATTATTTAAAAAAATGCTTGGCATATGTGCTACACCACCACATAGTATATCAACACATACTGGTACAACAAATAAATATGCTACTGTGGATGTGTAATGGCTGTATGAAAATATAAGAGGACTTAATTATACTAGTATTTTGTGTCCATTTCTTACACGAATACATTCTGGCCTCTGCTTGTTTGTTCCTCTTGAAGGAAGGAGCATGACCTCCATCTTCCATCGCATAGCAGAGAGTGTGAGAATAGCTGATAAACTTTTAAACTATTCTTGAATGGTTCTGTGTGTAAAAGAATTGGATGGGAATTTTAGGACAGATCAGGAACCAGTAGTGATTTTGTGTGAGGATGAAGCTGGGCTGTGGGAAGCTGACACGACGAGGTGGTGATGCTCAGAACAACTTCACGTTGTGTGAAGAAAAATCAGAAGATAGATAACCGCCCTCTTCCTACCTCTCAGTGTGAAAATGCTCCAGCAACCCCGAAGGCAAAGGAAACCTTTTTGCTGTAAGCCAGGCAACACTATAGATTTAAACAACCTTCTGGATTATTGGGTATTTGCCAACTAATTTCCCCCCTGTCCAGCTATGGACAGCCAACTCAAAGGAGAGGGCAAAGAAAAGTCTACAGATTCTGTGGCTACCAGTCTCCTAGCTCTGAGCTGCTGCTTGTCTCCTTCCTGAAGAGCCAAACCAGCTCCTAAAACCGGGCATTTGCTAGATCTAGCCCAGGTGCCCTGACATTTGCAGGCAAGCTAAGCAGTAATGTAACATTTAGGGTATTTACTGAAAGTGCCCATTTACACATCTTTTCATCTTCCTGTCCAGTCCACACCTCAGCACATTCATTCCCACTGGAAAATGAAATTGCACGTACAAAATATCTCCTCCACTGTGTGTTTTTTCCTTAACAGCCATCTCAATTACAGCTCTGAGAGATGCACCGTACTCTGCAGGGCAGAAGGTTGCTATCCCTCTGTGTTTACCTGGCTTCAGTCAGGCCTCTCGGACTAAGGCCTCGGAGCCGGGGCAGGAGTCAGCTCCGTAAGTACACTTAGAGACTCCTGTGCTCCCTAGCCTCTTGGGGCAAAGGAGGAAGCGACTGCTCATTTTCTCCTCTAGGCATGGGAAAAGCAAAGTATAGTCTTTTAGAATGCCTCCTGCTGCCCGTCAGGGGTTTGCTTGCACTGTAACCTGGAATTTACTGTCTGATTTTTCTTTTTTTTTTCTTCATCCTTCAGAGGAAGCCCTATGCTAAGGCAGCTGGGCGAGAAGGTGTCTTGCTGGTTTTGCTTTGAGCTGAAAATTAGTGGATTACTCTTTGAATGCAACTTCCCAAAACAAAGATGTGAATGTTGAGGCGTTTATTAATGAACTGACACCTCTGGCGAATGGCTTCTTCACCCTGGGGTGCTCACCCCCTGTTTTGTGGCAGGAAGAGCACTTGCAGCTGATGAAAGGCTGGAAAGATCCCTTGGGAACAGCTTAAGAGCGCCCAGGTTTGCCATATAGAAAGGTTTACTGTAGGGCATTTGAAAAAGGCCTCATTAGCAGTTGATGCCTTAGCAGGGCAGCTGCCCCTTGCCAGGAGCTCAGGGTGGCTCTTCCCCCCTGTCCCTTTCATTCCTTGGTTCCAAGCACTTTCCCTTGAAGCCGTAGGTTATCTGAGTCACCGCAGGCAGCACAGGCAGCGTCTCACTCACATTTGGTTTGTTTACTAGGCTGGCTCTGCCTGCTTCGCCGAATACTCCCATGTTTTAAGTGTCAGGATGGGTGTTTAACAATCCCTGCCCTTCCTGCCCTTCCTCCCCAACAGGCCACACTCTGAACTGGTTCTTTCTCCATGGCTACAGCCACCTTCCCTGGTGTCTGCCCTTGCCTGGACTGACACCACGGCCAAACATAACTCCTGTGTAAGACTGGAGCAGGTGTGCAATATTGCAGGAGCCTTACGGATTACCTCTGGATTTGCTGACGTTTTTTGCTCGTTGTCGGCTGTGTAGTGGCAGTTTCCAGGCAGGACGTGTTGGCGGATGATGGCACTACGTGCAGCTTCCCTCTCATTTCTTCCCTAGCTCTTGCTGTACCGTTGGAACCAGCTCCGTGTCTAAGCAGACTTCGCTTTTCAAAGTCCCTCTTATTATTGCTGCCCTACATTCTGTGACTTTTATTTGTCTGCTTTCCCTGTGTTGGAAGGATGAGTGGTTTTGTGGGTGCTTTGCCCTGCCCCTAACAGCCGGCAGCCATCGGAGAGAGAAACCTTCCAGTGCCACTTGCTCCCCGTTGCTCGCAGCACGCCCGTGGTGCAGTAGCGTGGCTGTTGCCAGCTACGCTGCCTGCCATCTTCTCCTCTGGGAGTCTTTGGGAGACTCCTGTGTTTAGTCCTGTGCTGATGTTACCTGGGCTGCTTCCAAGAACAACACAGAACTGCTTCCTCTATTCCTAAAACTGACACAGAAGGAAAACTACAGCAGGATTATTTTTAGTTCTGTAGAAGTGCAGCTAAAGCAGCATTGCTAGACTCTGCCTGGCCAGAATTCGCTGTTGTCCCTGAAAGGTGGGGAGTGTGTGTGTGTGGTAGACAGTAGTTTACGGAGCGGCTATCTGCTATTCCTTAATGCTTACGTTAGTTTTGGATTGGACTATCAATGCAAATGAGTCTGAAGTCCGAGATTAGTTTCCAGTAAATGTTCATCAGGAAACCACTCAGTTAAGGAACCGGAAGAAAGTGCAGATTGCAGCTGAGCCGGGTGCGTGCCTGCAGCTCCTGAAGCTGCTGCAGTGTGAGACCACGGTGGATTTGGCAGGGCTGGGCAGAGCTTTTGACTGCAACAGCAGGAAGAGCTGCAGCTCCTGCCTGAGTTGTGTCTGCTGGGCTCTGTGTGTGTCACGCTGGGGGGACTGGCGGGGGAAGCTTCCTGCCTGCTTTGTGTTCAGTAGTTCTCTACTTCGTAAACAGTATGGTGCACCTGAGCATTTCTGATGTGCAGGATATCCTATGTGCCCTACACCCCCAGCGTGTTTGTATTTAAACAAGAAGTGCAAACGAGATCGTTTATTGACCAGTTCCCTGGTATCTGCTGGGTGTCATGGACACCTGCCTGCACGCTCTTGTTGATTCAGTCATCTGGTACCCACAGTACCTCGCAGCAGTCTCTGTGATTTGAAAGGAAGGTAAGCGCTTGTGTTCTTGACCCAGAAATGCAAGCATTTTCCCCACTTCCTTGGTATCAGCATCAGATGGCATGCTCTTGGCTGGCATCGTTTCAGACTGCTGCCTCTTCCCTGAAGAGTGAGGGAGCAGCGGTCTGGACTCTGTGCTTCCATAGCCCTGTATGTGCACACAGCTCAGTACTTAACAGTGCTTTCTTTGTAAAAAGTGCTTTCTTTTGTTGTGCCTCTGCCTGAACCGATGCATTGCCTAGCACTTAAATCTGTGGGTTTCTGTGTGAAAGATTCGTAAGCACAAATTTGTAACAAGCAGTTGTGGAAATCGGACCACTCTTGTTTAGAATTGCAGATATCCTACTACTTAGATGTTATTACTGTTAGCAAAATCCACCCTGTGTCATTAACATTCTACCATAACTGTAGTCTGTTGTCTCTGCAAGCTGATACCAGTTCAAGCCTGTGTAACCTTGGAGCTGAGCAACCTCCCTTTGTATTGTCCCCAGCCTCTGCTGATTAGAATCTTGTTTCACAGAAATGACTTGGTATTGTGCTTTGATAAAGCATTTATCCAGCACAGTCAGGACTGGTTTGTTTACCTGATATTATCTGGGTGCTCTAATTCCAGCCAGCAGTCTAAAGTTCACAGGAGGGAAGATGATTTCAGGAAAAATCAGAGTGGTGATGATGAGTGCAGGGGATTCATGGTAGAGTGCTCAGTCAACCACCAGGAAAAAGCCTAAAAAGAAAATAGGAAAGCACTAAATAGTTTGTTTTTCTGGCACCTCAGGATGAGATGACCTCAAGTTTGGGCCTTACCACAAAGAAAGCCCTCACGATCCTGAGAGACCAGCTGTCAGCACTGCTGGAGGGGCATCAGAAGGAGCGGAAAAAAGTGACTTCATGGAAGGTGAGGCACCGAACAGCACCAGGCTGGGCACTCAGTCTCCCCTACCCAAAATAAAGCTGAAGATTAAACCAAAGTAGGCTGCATTCTCTCTCAGACTGCTGCTGCAGAGTGTCCCGGTGTAGAACTGCTAAAGTCTTTCGGAGCAAAGCAAGGAATTGACCTAAGGGTATGTTTGAGCACTTCTGGATGCTGGAGCTTAGCTTCACCTGTGAGGGATCTGAGGGCTTCAAGAGCCACGAATAGCAGTTCCTAGGGGTCTATACCAGGTGGAGAGAAAGAGCTGTGAAGCTCAACCATCTCCCCTTGTCCACCATACTTGTCTGGCGTGTGTGTTGAATACAAGGTGCTAGTGTTTATGCATGGTATTTATATGTTACAGGTGTTCCTTGCTTGGTTAGTGGCAATGGCGCAGCCTGGCACAAAGCCTTCTCACTTCTCATTCTTCCAGGAGAAAGTAAAGCAGAGAGTGTTCACCCAGACTTGACAGCTGAGCAGCCATTAGCGCTGTAGCATTCACATAACGGATTTGGGATGCTTGGGGTCATTTTCAGGGGTTTTACAAAGTTGTGTTCACCCTGGAGTGTCAACTGCTGCCTTCACCCTTTCTCACTCTGCTCTTTCAAATGTCTGGCTCTGTATTTCATGAATGCTGACTCTCTGCTGCTCTCCTTTCGTAGGAGGTGTGGAGGAGTAGTTTTCTGTACCATGGTAACCGTTGCTCCTGTTTCCACTGGCCTGGTGCATCTCTGATGCTTCTGGCAGTGCTGTTGCTGCTGTGCTGCTATGGGAGCCAGCCACAGGGGAGGTAAGCAGAACATCCTGTGCTGGTTAACTGAAGCAAGGTGGTAGTTTTGTATCATTTTGACACTGTGTGTGGCTGATACGACAGTGTTGTCCCTCATTCTGTCTAGACATCTAGACATTAGCATGCTCATACCGGTAATTCTGTCCCTTTCACAAAACTTCAGCCAACTTAACTCTGCTTTTAATAGACCCACAGAGTGTTCTATGAAAAGACTGAGATTTTTTTTCTACAGCGTTCGTAGATCTTAAAAAAAACTAAGGCATTGTCACAGTTAGGAAGGATTTTGAAACTGGAGAAGTTAGTGGCTCATAGGAGAAATTACTGTGCTATCACATGCGCCATAGCATGCCTCGACCATGTTTGTAAGGGTATTTTTTAATTGAGACTGGTCTTTTCAGACTTCTCTGGTGGCATTATTCTAAAGCAGAAGTGTGATCATAGCTCCCCTGCTGTTCTTTAGCCGTAAGTCTGTGGGATGTAGGAATAAACAACGGAGCAGGTGTGCATTTATCTCTGTGGGCGGCTGGCAGTGTATTCTGCTCATTTACCCGAAGCTCATCTGCTTTCTGGTTTCTTCTGTTTTGCTGTGCAAAGCCAAGGTGCTGAGATAGTTAATGCACTGGCACTCTTCCTCCTTCTCCTCTTGGATCTCTTCATGATCGGGCGTCAAGAGAGGCTGAAGTGCAGAGAGGTGGAGAGGAGACTTCAGACAATCATTGATAAGATAAATGGTGAGGTCTCATTCATCTGTCTTTCATTTGCATTGATGTTTTCCTCCCATTGGATTTTTCTCCAAACATCATCACATACGTTACTAATTGAGCTTCCCCTGTTACACAGAAACAGGCTGTGAGAATTGTGTCCTACTCATGCCTGTCCTGTAGAATAGTTATTTTGAGCTGTCATGTGGCCATGTGCTTCCAATCTGTGTGTTATCAGGTAGGCGTCTGTTATGTCTGTGCTTCGGAGTAATTCGAACCCGCAGTAGCTTACGAAAATATCTGCCTTGCAGCAGATGATGAGAGGAGAATACGTGGGGTTGTACCACAACATAGAACAGAAGGACATAAATTGCTGTGCGTGAGCATCGTCTCAATGGGGGCTTTTGAACCTGAGGAGGGAGTTCATTTCAGTGCGGCAGTTTCAAGGACAGCCTTTAGCTTTTCCATGGTACAAGGATGTATTTAAGGTCATACAATGACTATGCTTAGTAGTTAGTACTGGGTGGAGAGAGAGAGGAAAAGCCATCAAGGGGAAAGAGAGATGATAAAAGATGATGGGAATGGACTGAGCTTAGCACTGGAGGACCAGTAGCCACCACAGGATGTAAATCAATGTATGACTAGCCCCTCCAGCATTGTTACCACTTAATTCTTTCACATGTTGTGCTTTTAGATACACTTGGCAAAGAGGTGAAATGGCCAGACTCCATGTACCCTGACCTTCACATGCCTTATGCCCCATCCTGGTCCCTTCATTGGGCCTACAGGGATGGTCACCTTGTCAACCTGCCGGTGAGCCTGTTGGTTGAAGGAGATGTCATTGCTTTGAGGCCAGGCCAGGAGTCATTTGCTTCTCTGAGAGGGATTAAGGTATTTGACCTGTCTTATTTCCCTGGCCTGTAACAGTATATTTTCCAGTATTTTCTTGGTAATACTTGTAATTCCCAGTGTACAGATTACTGGAGTGTTTAATTTCTTCTGACCTTGAAAATAGCTTGAAATTCCAGTTCAGTCAAGGATGGTGCTTCGTTAGACGGACTGCATCTTCCCTATGAACTCTCAGCCCAATGGACAGGAGTCACTAATGTGATACCAAAGCATCAGATTTCCATCTCTTCCAGGTCAAGGGGAAATTGTAATGTGCTGCTAAATATAAGTGGAGTGAATCTATCCAGTAGGGTGATATGACATGCAAACCTCCTACTTTATCCTGGTTTTTATGTGGAGAAATAAAGTTCGCTTTGATGTTTTCCTTCCTACTTTACCACTGTTTTCTGTTTTATTGTAAAAGAAGATAATATAAAATACCTGGGGTAGAATTAAATTAACAAACCAGTGATAAGATCCGTGCAAAGGTTTTGCTGCTTGAAATTCACCTTTGCTGATTTCTATCATAACTTTCACTCCAAATGCCAATTTTCATGAAATAACCAGATGTGCTTGGACACAAGCATTTAATTTGCAATAGTTTAGCTAATGAACTTTTGAGAGCTGAGAGGGAACTGTGACAAAGAGGTATTGTGTAACTTGCAGTGGGATGGGTCCTGCTGGACTAAATATCCAGTCCCATGCAGCAGGATTCCACCGAGGCCCCTTTGGGCTCTGCCTTTTTTTCTAGGATGATGAGCACATAGTTCTGGAGCCAGGGGATCTGTTTCCACCTTTCTCACCTCCACCCTCCCCAAGGGGAGAAGTGAAGAAGGGACCTCAGAACCCTCAGTTGTATCGTCTCTTCCGTGTCTTGAAGACCCCAATAATTGATAATGTCAGGTGGGTTAAATACAGTGCACAATTCCTGCACAGTTTGTCTATGTCCTTGTTGGCACCTTGGGTCAGCAAAGAGTGAGACCTACCAGTCTGGGACAGGAATTTTCAGGCTGTGCTGTGTCTTCTCTATTTCCTGGGAATGCTGTAAGTCTCTTACTGTCTGTCTTCAGTTGTCCTCCTTAACTGGTAGGTTAGGCTAATGTATAAACACATATGTGCTAAGTATTACTGTTCAGCTCATTGCTTTCCAGTTAAATTTGAACAATGCAGGGAGGTCACAGATTTCAGGCGTTTGATGTGACCAGCGATGTGACACCATTCACTCAGCTGGAGGTACAAGATACGTGAATGTCCTGTTGGAGTTTCAGTACACGTTAGGGCGATGGAGCCTTCTTGGTAAGCAGATGAGGAGACCTGGGGAGTTGGCTCAACAGCACTGCAAATTTATCATGGCAGGTGCAACACTGTTGTTGTAGAACTTGGCTTCTCTTTTGAAGGTCGTTCCTCATAGCATAGGGTGAACACAGTGTTCTAATTGTGTCTACTAGGAGGTTTATTTCTGAGGAAAGTGCAGGGTTAGGGTATTGGTCACTGAAATCTCAAGCTGTTTTCCCTTTTTTTTTACTTGGAGTTTCAGTACACTTTAGGGCGATGGAGCCTTCCTGGTAAGCAGGTGAGGAGACCTGGGGAGTTGGATCAACAGCCCTGCAAATTTGCCATGGCAGGTGCAACACTGTTGTTGTAGAACTTGGCTTCTCTTTTGAAGGTCGTTCCTCATAGCATAGGGTGAACACAGTGTTCTAATTGTGTCTACTAGGAGGTTTATTTCTGAGGAAAGTGCAGGGTTAGGGTATTGGTCACTGAAATCTCAAGCTGTTTTCCCTTTTTTTTTAGGTGGGGCCTGGACATGGTGGCTTTGTCACGTCCTGTGACAGCCCTGGATAATGAGAGATTCACTGTACAGTCAGTGATGCTGAAATATGCTGTCCCTATTGTACTGGTAGGTCTGATTTCAAGCCTTTGTTGAATATAGCCGTGTTTTGTCAATAAAGGTGAAGAATTTGCAGCCATCGACAGGATATTGTGGCCAGGCCCTAACTTACACAGCTGACTATGCATGTACCTTGGGTAGTTCAGAGAAACAAAAGATGCTGAGCCATCTAGCAGTGCAAGTGGAGGGAGGAACTGAACTGCAGACCAAGTATATCTTCCAGACTTTCCCAGGGCTGAGAATGTTACAAGGCAGTGAAAACTCCTCCCCCACGAGTACTCGTAGTTAGCTGACAGTGTCATCTCTGTTTGGATTGCAGGCTGGCTTCCTGATCACCAATGCGGTGCGCTTCATTTTCAAAGCTCCTGGAATTGCTTCTTGGCAGTACACTCTTCTTCAGCTGCAGGTAAAGGGGAGCTTTGATCTCCACTACATCTCCTCCCCAGAGCTCCAATGAGACTAATCCCCTCCCTCAGCGACCTGCTTCATCCTGTGCCAGCATTCTGTGCACGGCCTTGTGCCTGTTGGATCCAGGAGCTCCCTCAGTGGAGCAAGACAACAGCTGTACCCTGGCCATTCCTCCTAGGCACTCTATGTTGTTTGCTCTCTCTTACTTGCCGTGTGTGTGTATATATATATATTTATAGTATCCTTTGCCTTGAAACTTTAGGATTTAACAACTGCAAGTTGGTGTGATTCATTCACAGCTTCCTTTATTACAAACCCCTAAGGGTGGGTGGGTGTGTGTCTCCCCTCCTGTGCTTCTCTGTGTTCTCCATGCTCTCTCTTCCAGTGCAAGCAGCATCCTTCCCTTCTGCCATTGCCTTTTACCCGCCCTCTCACTGTGGTGAAAGAGGTGTCACGTGAGAGGTTTGACTTCTTGTTGGCTCTGTGTGTGCTGGTGATTACAAATGTCCTTTTCAGGTGAATGGTGTCCTGCCCATCCTTCCGTTGCTCTTTCCTGTCCTGTGGATTCTTGCTACAGCCTTTGGAGAAGCCAGAGTCTTGGCCCAGATGAGCAAGGCCTCATCCACCTCGCTGGTAGGTGTCTCGCTACATCAAACCATTGCAGAGAACAGGGCGGGACATGGAGTGAGCACAGTGAATTCAGCAGATGTGTCCACGTAATTGTAAAAGCTTGTTGGATGTTTGGTTGCCCCAGCTACGCCCTCTCCCTGGAGCACAGCGTGGCTGCTTCTTGAACAGATGTTTTAATTTTTTCAACCTGTCTATGGATATCCCAAGGTGATAGGAAGCTCCAGTGATTCTGTAAATCTCTTCAAGGCATGTGCTTTCTATCAGCTAAATACAATCTGTTAGGGGAGTTAACACAGAGATAAATGCCCTGTGGTGGCTATAACTAGAGAACGTTTAGCCACTGAGAAGGAATGTGATACATGACATCCTCTGCAATCCCCTGTTGTGAAGTGTGGCCTGAACAGCCCTTTCCTCAGGCTCTGGGGCTTCGCTTGCAGGCATGGCCTTTACAGTGGGGCAGGGAGTAAGAGGAATTTCTGGGCGTTCTGCTGGTTTGGGGGGTTGGTTTTCGTCGTCTGATGGGTGTGTATCCCCAGCTGGATCTGCTGATAGGTGTCTCTTGTTCTCTTTTGGTGGCAATGTTGGTGAGATGCACTGTGTTATGTTTGTCTTCTTTGCTGACTTCTGTTACACCTTAGGTGCAAGCACCTTTCTTTAACCTTGTCCTTCCTTGGCCTCTGTGGTCTTGGGTCTGTGTTTTCTGTTCTTTTCCCTATAGGTTGTACATGACTAATCTGCCTGTGTCCTGGGGGGTAGGCTACATGTTGCCTTCCTCAGTGGCATTTGCACCTTTACTATCTCTTTTCAGTGCTTTCTCCACTTTCCCTTTCCCACCCATTCTCAGCATCACTTGATTTCTGTCTTTGGAACCTTCCTCTTTCAAAAACACACCTGGCTATTTGGCTGGGAAAAGTCAGAACTCCTTGACTTCCCTGCTTCGTCATTCTCAACCTACCCATTTTCCCTGTCACTCATACTTGCACCTTCCTTGTGTTCTTTCCTGTCTTCTCCTTTTTCTTGTCCAGGCAACTCATTCTGTCCAGCCAGCTCTTTCTGTGACATCTCAAACATGATCCTCCATCCTTGCCGCTGCAGAACAACCGTTGTGATGTGCCTTGGTCATTCTCCCCCTTGAGTAGGGCAATCTTACCTTGGCCTCTCTATTTCACTCCTTCCTCTCTCTACTCTGTTCAAAATGTAGCAGGTAAGACCCTCTTCCTCTCCAATCACTTGGCCTGTGTGACTCTCTTCCCCACCTTCTGCCCTCTCCCATCGTGTTCAAGCTGTTTGATTCCCAGTTTTTCAAGGCCATAGGTGACCCTTGTGACTGGTTAGTCAGACATCCTGCAGGACACAAACCAGTGGCCCCGCAATGAAGCCCCTGCCTCAAGTTGCATTACTACAGCTGGACTACAGAAAGGAATTTGTTGTTGGTTTGGAAACATTTGTACTGCCCTTGATAGGTTGTTTCAGTAATTATTTACCTTCACTACTAAAAATGGGAATTCTGTGTTAGTGGGAATTTTTGTAGTAACTGATTTCCAGCATTTGGAACATTCACATCTTTTATCTCTGAGATTTAAGAGCATGTCAATCAAATTTCTGGTCTGTTGTAGCTATGCACATTGCCTTTTACCGTCTCTTTGGTTAAGTAAACAGTTTAAGCACCTTGAGTCACTAGAAGCATATTTTCCAACCCTCTAATCTTTCTCTTGGCTTTCCTCTTAGCTTTCTCCAGTGCTTCAGGATCACTGTAGAATTACGAATCTCCCAAACCCACAAAATATTCCAGGAACAGTTGTACTTGTGCTAAATTTCAGAATAATTTGGACTTCTTACGCTATGTTCCCTTGTTAGGGCACCAAAGGATCATACTAGATCTTTTAGCCACTGCTTTCAATGGCCAGGCTTTGTTCAGCTGACCATCTACAGTTACTGCTCTCTAAGACAGAGTTCTCACCCTGTAAGTCCAGCCCTCGTTTTTGCTCCTGGGTATGCAGCCTTACTTTCCTGCCTGTTGGTGTGCATGTTTTTGCTTATTTACAACGCAGTCCATATTGTTCTGTAACAGTGGTCTGCTTTCTTTATTACCGGACCCTGCCCCAACCTTTGTCTAGTTTGCAGTCATATCAGTAATGTTTTTTAGTTTTCTTTCAGGCTATTAACAGAATACCCAGAATTTGTCCTTGCTTGAGCTAGTAACATCCTATTGCAAGGAGTTTCTCAGTTTCTCTTCCATTTGGAGATAGTCTGTTTGTAACATATTTAGTATGGGCCCTATTTCTCCATTATTTCTCTAGTTTTTGTTAGAAAAACAGTAAAGCATTTTGCATCAAGTCAAGGCACCAAATGGTCTACATCAAAAGCATTGCTTTTATCAGTCAAATTTGTAATTTTGTCCAAAAAGATATCACAATAGTTTGATGAGATTTATTACCCATATACTTGCGGCATTTGGCACTGGTTGTATTATTCCACTTCTTTTCTTTTAACTGGGTCTCGTATTGGCTGCTCTGTTACTGTGTCTGCAATCAAAGTCTGCCTGGGGTCCTGTGGTAACTTGGTTTGTTCTCCTTACCCTTTTTAGGCATTGGCACCACATTAGCTTTCTTCCACTGCATTGGGACCTAATCCATCCTTCAAGCCTTTTGCAAAATCAGCAGGAACGAAAGTTGTCCAGACCTGCTAATTTAAACATACTTCCTTTCAGTAGCTAGCGTTAGAATGGAAAATATTTCATAGTTATCATATGGTGTGATTATATCCCTGAATGAGGAATAGCAATATTTATTTAACACGTCTGCCTTGCCTGCGATGTCATTTGCAATTTCGCTGTCTTCAGCCAGCAGAGGACTGGGGTTAATTACCTACTTAAAAATAAAAAAATACTTTTTCTTATTTTTATGCTATTTTTTTCTTCTATTTTCACTTCCACTCAGAACTGGACTTTTTTATTTTTGCTATGGGTTGGTTGCTTTTTGAAATCTTAGTAAAATATTGTTAAACAGTTCCTCATTATCCTTCATAGTTTTCAGTTTAAATGAATTCTGACAAATTTGTCTCGGCTTTTATCAGCTTTGTTAAACTGATCCTTTTTTAAAGTGCCAGATATATACATTATTAGTTGGGGTGCCGTATTACTGACATACTTACGACTGTACTTCAATTGAAACTGGTTTTCAACATTACCTCTACTGTAGAATTCCTTTGTGCTGCATGCACAAATTTGGAGTTAGTAAAGAGCCCCATGGAGTGCCATCTATAATTCCTTTTAATTTCCTATTCACATCCCATGCGCCATCACCTCATTCCTCTGTGCCCATTGTGTTCCAGGCACCTGCTTTTCCAACCACTCTTACAACCTTCTTTTAACTGACCCATTAAAGCTTAAAAACAGATCAGTCAATCCTGGCTCTTTCTGTCTAAAAATAACCATCCAGGAAGAGCCTAATTGCTATTATTTTCTCTGTAGACATTCAGGTAATGACTGTGTGTTCTTCTGTGGTGTACAGCACCAAGCACTTCGACTGTGCTTCACAAGTAGATGAAGATATCGTCCATTAAAGACTTAATTGCTTTGCTGAATTACTGGGCTGCCTTGGTACAGCGGTTCCCACAGAGCGGGACTCCTGCTTTCTTCTCTCTGAAGGCATGGTACTCAGGGAAGGATGTTCCTCATGACACATTTCTGAGCACAATTATAGTAACTGGTCTCTTCTCTTGCTGCAGCTTGCTAAGTTTTCAGAGGACACTCTCAGCAGCTACACAGAGATGGTATCTTCTCAGGTACTATTATTATGAATTGTTTTCTTCCATCTTCACTGCAGAACTTCATGATATCCTTTCCCTTCCTTGCTGATCTCCTGCTTGTTCCTAGACCCTTTTTACTTGTGTGAGTTGTCCGTTGTCACTCATTTGCTGCTTTAATTTGCTATGCATGCAGGTTGCATGTCTCTCCCCTACACCTTCCCATGTAAACGCTGCTCTGCTGACCAGAGATCGAGGTGACTGTGGTACGGACTCCAGTTGTGCTTCTCTGAAAATTGCAAATGGCTTGAAATCAACTTTTTCTATCCTGAAGGAAGTACCTCTTTCGAGTCCTCCTGTTCCAGGAACAAAATAAACTTGGTATAGTGTTTGTCAGAAAGAAGGGAAGTATTTTGCTTGTGCCAGAAAAGCCTCCTTCTTCAAGCCAAAACGAAAGAACAGAGGGGACGGTGGTCAGCACCAAGACCAAATGCCAAGAGGGGAGCATGGGATGTTCAGGCTAAAAGTCTGATCCTGTTTCATAGGCTCCTTAACAAACTTAAGCACATTACTAGTGCTTCCAAAGCTGGGGCAAATAAACATTCAGGAGTTGTTTTTCTGGGGGAGGAACTGCATCTGGCCACTCTCTTAAATTGTGTCATCCAGATTAAACAGGTGGGTCGAGGAAAGACACTCCTCTGTCTAATCTGGCATTAAGGTTCTCCTTTCCATAAGGAGGCGGATGGACTCCAGGAGTGATTAAAAATCCCTAGATATCATAGGAGTCAATTCATATCTCCTTGCTCTCAGCCACACAGAGAAGTGCACGTGGATGCACACACACACTTCTTTTGCTGAATATTTTGTTGTCTTTCTGTGCCAGTTCCTCATTTAGCTGCGATGATTATCAGGTGTTAAATGGGAGGGATTTGAACTGACCTTCCTTGGTGAAAAGATCTGCTTTTTGCCATTTCTACCTACGTAACATTTTTGCCTATGAGAAACTGGCTTAAATAAGAGCTTTTTGCCTTCCTGGTGATAACTTGTGTGTTTCCCATTTGAGCTCCTTAGGATCTAAGGAGCTTTGGGAGAAGTGCTCTGCACTGACAGAATTCCAGAACAACAGCTAAAAAGCAGTAAAATAACACTGAAATGCAAACCTGGTTTTGCAGGCTGCAGGAGCACACGGAGGAAAACACACAGCTCTGGTGCTTGGCTTGATTGCTGCCTTTGCCTCCCTCTGAAACGTTTTCATGTAGAAAATGAAACTTGACGTTTTAATTTTGCAAAATATCCCCTTCTTTCAGTTTATTACCATGTTGATTACAATCCATTTGTAATTATGGAATAGTCAGGGCACTTTGTCTTTGTTTCCAACATTGTCACTGCCTCAGTAACCTTGGGCAAGTCACCTCACCACAGTGACTCCATTTACCCACTTTGCAGTATGGTGATAGTAAGCTTAAGGCCTCAAACTCTGTAATAAAGGAGGTAATGACCGATTTACCCCAAATGAAATCACTTCAGAATTCCTTTCTGTGGTTTTGGATAGACAAAGGTAGTTTCAGTGAATTCTCAGTTCAACAATCAGACTGTCTGTTAGCATCCTCTGGAAGGGGGAAGAAATACCTTTCCCTTGAGAACATCAGCACCGTATCAGTTAACAGGTTCCCATGGAGACCAGTGTTTATCTTACAGTGTATCACTGTGTTGAACCTGAAAGCAGGTAATGTCATCCTCCCTTTTTTTCCCTCTCTCCCCTCATCTTTCACTGAATGAGTCTTTGATTGGGTGATGTCCTCTGCTTCCCTTGGCAGGAAATGATACGCTGTATCTGGAGCCACTTCCTCTGTGTTTTAAAAGGCAAATCCCCAACTCTGAGCTTCACTTCCAGCTTGCTTCATAGTCTGGGATCTGTCACTGTGAGTATTGCTGGGTTCTCAGAAGGAAGATCCTTACATGGATGCTTCATTTGCGTTGTTCATGTCGTCCTCCCTGAGTATAGACTGTTGGCAGTCAGTTCACTGTGCTGGAATTAGAAACCCTGTGGGTACCTGTCTGTAGAAGAGTTTATAACTGTTTTGTTTTGTCCAAGCAGCACATTTACAGGTTAAAACAATGGTTAGAGATACTCCGTGGCATCTAACAGGGTGTCTGTATTTTCCATTTCCAGTTCTGGTCCCATAACTCTCTTGACTCCTGTTCCAGAACCAGCTGGTTCAGGTCCTGATAAGGTACTAGCTGGTGAAACAGGTTCAGAAGTTGCTTCCTTCTCATGGCCTTCATGCAGCTTTGCAATATCCTGAGATAAAATTGGTGTTAAACAACCTTCAGTCCTGCTAGAGCAAGGAATTCTCAGATTTCCTGGAGGATTATTAGGTGCAGTTTCTTAGGACAGAAGGTTGGCGAAGGTGGCACTTGTCTGTCCTCTGTGTGTTTATTAAACTTGTGATATTTACAACTATGCATGGACACTGAGACAGGTTTTCACTGAGATGTTGCTTTCTTGGGGGTGTTGTGGGATGTTCTAGGTGCTCTGCTGTGTAGACAAGCAGGGGATTCTTTCCTGGCCAAACCCCAGTCCAGAGACTGTTCTGTTCTTCAGTGGGAAAGTGGAACCACCTCATGATAGCCATGAAGATCTGACTGATGAGCTCTCTACACGGTCCTTCTGCCATCCTGAGATGGAAGACGAGGTGAGGGATATGAAATCCATTATGTAGTATGTTGGCTCTAATCATAGCTTGACCGATACACACAACCTGGTATTATAGAGACGGCCCTTTGCTTATAGAGAAGTCCTGTGCCATAATTCTTTGCTTAAAAGATAAAGGAGCAGTGAGGATGAGATCCTCTTTTACAGGTGTCCTGAAGCAGCAGGCGAATCGGTAATGGCTCATGTTCAACCACCGAATCACCACTGTTTGTTTTCTTGACCTCTTGCAGCCCCATGAAAGAGATGCTTTGCTCTCTGGCCCCCTGGCAGACACAGTCCACCTGACCAATGAGCAAGAGAGGAACAACTGGTCTAGTGATGCTCCAAAGGCTCCCGATGCCCATGCCCACCGAAAGCCCAACAGCAGAAGCAAGCATCCCTCTGGGTCCAATGTGAGTTTTAGCAAGGACACAGAGGGTGGAGAAGAGGAACATACACAGGTAAGACACAGTGAGGGGACACACAGTTAGTCTTTTGTGGAGCTATAAGAACGACTTAAACCTGAAGAGTCTCTCCTTTTGGGAATTTAATTGAGAATTCCCCATGGGATTCTAGGCTCAAGCTGTTTTCGTTGTAACCAATGAGAATTTTCCTGTCTGGTGCACCAGGTTGTTGGTGACAGTGAGGTGTTGGCTTGTGAGGCTGAAGACTTTGTGTGTGACTACCACCTCGAGATGCTTAGCCTGTCCCAGGACCAGCAGAACCCTTCCTGCATCCAGTTTGATGACTCCAACTGGCAAATGCGCTTGAATTCCCTCAAGCCTCTGGGCCTGAACGTGCTGCTCAATCTCTGCAATGCCAGTGTGACGGAGCGCCTGTGCCGCTTCTCTGACCACCTCTGCAACATTGCCCTCCAGGAAACTCACAATGCCGTGCTGCCTGTCCACGTGCCCTGGGGCCTCTGTGAGCTTGCCAGGCTAATAGGTAAGGAGAAATTGGATGAGCTGACACAGAGAAATCAGAGCTGTCAACAGACACTTAATCCTTAGAGAGCACAAGAAAAATATTTCACCAGTCCTGGCTGCTGAGAAAGTGGAATTACAGACCTGACGCTATTGTTGTTTGGTTGCCAGAAAAGTCTATTACAGAGATTGTTTTGGCAAGTTCTGACATTGTAGACACTATCAAAGGAACAAATGTCATCAAGGATATTGCCAACTAGCCCTGGCTAGGCTTGGTATTCTTCTGGCTTGAGTCTGCCAATCCAATCATGAGACAAAGAATGAACAAGATAGCTGGCCTGTCTTTACAGCAATGCTTTACCAGGAGTTGGAGTATAAATGAGGTGAGGTACCTCAGCTGGTTCTATAGCTTTAAATCTGAGGCACAGGGGAGGCGAGAGATTAGAGGCAACACTAGGATTAAAATCTGGAAGCTCTTGGACTTGCTTCTGTGCCTGTCCTTCAGTGTCACAGTTTCTTCAGTGAGCCAGAAGCATGAAAGCTGTAATTGCTAACATCTTGTTCTTAATGTTTCTCATCATAGACCTTGAGCCATCTTGGTGTGGATGCAGAGGGAGCACAGCCCACCTGCCTGTGCAGGCAAAGTGGATAAGAAGCAGGAGAGTGCTTTTGCTTGGTTAGAGCCTAATTTTCTTCTCCTTATGTTCACATTTCAGGTTTCACACCAGGTGCTAAAGATCTTTTCAAGCAGGAGAACTATTTGGCCTTGTACCGCTTGCCAAGTGATGAGATGGTTAAGGAAACAATCTTGGGGAAGCTTTCGTCGATCACCAAGAGGAGACCACCCCTGAGCCACATGATTAACCTGTTTGTGAAGGACACCACTACTAGTAAGGCTGCCCCTTTCTTTGGGCATCTACTTGGGATGGGAGGATCTTTTCCACAGAGTCAGACTGGAACAGTCTGGAGTCACTGAGCGTTGGCAGCTTTGCTCTGCATGTGCCCAGTACAGATAACAAACCCTGGTGATCAGTGCTTGGGCAGACTGAGGCAGGGAAGGCTTTTCAGCTCTGGCTTACTCCAGGATCATAAAAAAATCATGTTAGATAGCACACAATAAACCTGTTTTCTGGGACCACATGGCAGTGCAGAACAAGGTGTGGGGTTTTAGTGGGGTTTGAATAGTTTTCATTATGGCAGTGAAACTGCTACTGCATAGGGTTGAATATTGCTCAGGGTTTTAGCTAGTGATGCTCAGCCTTCAGGTAACCCAAATCAGAAATCATTATCTTAGGGAACTGTCTAGCACATTACATTGCACACTCTGTTTCTATATTGCTTACTAATAAGAAATCACAGAAATTCTGTGCAGATTCATGGTGACCCTGACTTCTCCACTCCTCCTAGTCCTTCCTGTTCTAATAGGAATGGGCTAGGATGGAAAGGACATACAGCTGGGCATTGAGAGGGCTTAAAGCACCTCAGCAGGATTTAACAGCTTGTCTGTCAAAGCTCTTAGTCTCTTCCTAATATCTTAAATTGACTGAACTTGGCTCGCTGGAGTTGGCATATGTTCAGTATTGAATCTGAAATATGATTCTTTTGCTGGCCAGAGATTTACCAGGTAAACTGTCTTCTCTTGCCCAATTCGTCTTAAATTTGTAACTTCACCTGGGGAGGAGCTTTTTCATTTGTCGTGATTGCTGCTATTGCCTTTGTGAGCAAGAATTTTTCTGATGCCGAGATTCTTAGCGTAGGGAAAAACCTTTAATGTTGCCTCATTTCAACTCCTTATCCTCATTTTTAAACGGTTTAGTTTAGAGGCTGGAGCTCAGACGAATACGTGTGTGACCTGGATTATGCTGTCTAGAGTAAATTCTAAGAGGAATTTTGCCGGCGGGGTTAGTTAACTATTGGAACACCTCTCACGCCGTCGTCTTGTCCCTTGAAACTTTCTAAAATGTGTACAACCAGAAATAGTGGATTATGCAGATAATATTGGATGAAATCAAATGGCTCTGCAGAAGAGTCAGACCAGAGGATCGTAACTAACCTTTCTTGATACACTAGTTGTTAATAAATCTTTAAATCCACCCGCTCCCATGACTGCTGAAGTCAAAGGCAGATACATAATAAAATCTACAGCTGTAGCAGAAATAGGAGGTGGCTTATCTGTATGTTCCCTTGCTATTTCACTGAAATATGTGTCTCGCCATCTGGCAGTGTACATCCTAAATCCATAGTAACCACATGGAAATAAGGGGCTCACCGGCATCTTCAGTGGAGTAAAACTGCTTGATACTGTCTCTGTCTCCCCTTGCTGCACTCTCAGATTCCTTTTGCTCTGACTGGCTCAGCCTAGCTCTAGTGGCTTGGTTCTTCCTGACGAGGCCCAGCAGTCTTACTCTCTGCCCTGTTCACTAGTTTTCCCCCTTGTGCCAGAGAAATGCTGGCCGTCAAGTTCATGATTTAGGAAGGAAAGAGGCTGAGCTCACTTTACTGGCAATGACAGCTGAATGAACTCCCTCCAGTGTGCGGTGCGTGCTCTCACTGTCAGTTACCCCTCAGAAGGACTGTTGTGTGGGATGCTGGTGGTACTGCATGGGGGATGGAATGCAGTTGCTGTCAGGCATGAACGTAGGTATGTGTGCGTCTGTGGTCACCTCCAAGCTCCTGCTCTCTGTCTGGGGCATAGGTTTTGCATGAATCAAGAAACAACTCTTGTTCCCTCGTTTCCTATGTGACCATAGGAGCAAAGTGGGAAGGATTAGGTGTTTATACAATAAAATTAACCAGAGCACTGCACAAATACCCCTTTGTGTCCCTGAAACAGGCTCCTTCTTTCACACACAGCTCCTATTCGTCTTGGAGGTTTGTTATGCTGATAAACTTGGCGTGTGATGACTATTTATAGCAGAAAGCAGAGAGCTGCTATGTTTTGGAAAATCCTCTGGTGTTCCTGAAGGTCCCTGCCTGGTTTGTGCGAGTGGATATTCTTGGCTCCTGATTTCACCCGCTAGTGTGAGCGTTTGCAGTCAGCAACAATGCCTGCAAGAAGCCTTTGGGCTCATTTTTCTTGGCAGTGATGTTTTTTTCATTAGATCAGCTTTGAAGCTGTTGGGGGCAAAGTCACAGAGCAGCTGGAGGAGGGAACCTAGACAGTGAAGTCTACGTGCAGGCAATGTTAATGCGCCGATGTGCTAATGAAAGGGAAAAGGAAGTGCGGAGGGGGAGGCATCCTGCATCCTTTAACTTGTGTCCTACGCCCGGGACCTGCATCAGACAAGTGACATCACACACCTTTGGGAAACACTTTTTAACACCCCTGTCTACAAGAGGGAATGAAAGATTTTGTCTATTAAAGAATAAAGTAGCAAGGGAAAAAAACCAAACAGGACAAGCTGTGGCATCCATGGATTTTCAGTCCTTCCCTGATCACAACATGTGTTACTTTTTGAGTCTTTTAGGTTGAACTTTTGACCCATCCTGATTTAACATGTTTTCAGGACCCTTTGTGGAACAGGCTGGTATCTAATGGGCCAAACTGTTAAATTATCTTCTGCTACTTGAATGGAAGGTATTCAGGAATAGCTTTTACCCTTTAGATCCACTCCTGGCCTGAAATTGGATAAACTTCCCAGTGTAGGCAGACTTTGATCCCTATAGGCTCATCACTGGTGCTCGTACTCTCATGGGAAGAGGCACACAGGAGCATCTTTTCTTCCGCTCTGTTGGATACAGGAGCAAGATATTATCCCACCTTCTGTAGAAGCGGGATTGTTACACAGTGTAAGGGGAGAATAGGAACTGATTACGTGGCTGACACTTTATCACAGCCTTGTTTGAACTCTCGGTTAGACAAATAGCAACCTTGACTAATTTCTTGATGGAGATGGAAGACTTTCAGCAGAGGAAAGGGGATATCTGGAGTGCATCAAGGCAGTTTGCGGGAACACTCTTAACAAATAAGGGAGCAGTTGGCATGATCTCCCTTTCCTGGGAGCCTGTACGTGTGATGCTGACTCGTTGTTCTACACTTCAGGCACGGAGCAGATGTTTTCTCATGGGACAGCTGACATCATCCTCGAGGCCTGCACAGACTTTTGGGATGGTACCGATATCTACCCCCTCTCTGGCTCTGACAGGTGAGCAGCTTTGTCACTTGGTGCAGTCAGGAGTTGCAGATAAATTGCAGAGGGAACCTGGTCATTCTTCGTTAAAATTCCCTTTACTGAGGCTTGTTAAGCTATTTAATACAAGTTTCAAGTAGGTTATGAACGTGAGCTGTCTCTGCTTGTAATTAATTGTTGTAATTGTCGCAGTGTAAAAGATTAGATAGCAACAAGCAATATGTTGGACTGTAAGACTAAATATCTGTTAACATATTAGCCTCTTATAAGTGGACTCTGACTGTACGATGTAGTGGGACTGTGAATTATAATCAGGTCACGTGCTGGTGGCAGAGAATTTTTTATGTTGTTTCAGACAAATGACTGGTCTGACATGAAATGCGAAGTACTCAACGCTACCTCCTGTTGACAGCTTCCAACCAGTCCACCACAATGCATCCCATCCTTTTAGCCCTGCTGCAATGTCTGACAGTGTCTGTTATATTTTCATCTATAGGCTAAATTTCTGCCTCTGCTACCAGAACAGACCAGTAATGTTGAGTTCCATTGAATTGTTCTTCTAAGTCTGCTTATCCTCAAATGTAAGAAAACTCCCACTGGTCCTTTTTGGAATATTTATCATCTTAGAAGCCAATGAAAAATCCCATGTGTAGTCTAATTCGTTACCGTTGTGAGTTCAACGTAGAGAAGGAACTTCACACTATTTTGGTGACTGTGTATTCACTAACTGGAGGCTCACATACAGCTCCTGGGACCCAAACTCTGAAAGAGGGTAGGAGAAAAGTGTTTAACTATCTCTACAATAGATACTATTGTCAGAGTTGTTGGTTCCTTCCTTGGTGTTTTTCTCCCTGCAGATAAATTCTCTCTGATGAATTAAGCTTCTGCTGTCACGCAGTGAACTTTCTTGGAGTCATCTGGCAGCCATATAGGGCACATTATATTAATAAGTGTATTCAAAGAGTGCTGTCTTCATACTCGTCGATCTGTCTGATGAGAAAACAGAAACGTTCACCACTGTCCCTCTTAAAATATCTGGTTTTGTTGCCCTGTACTGCCTGCAGCTTAGAGAATGCAGAAACAGTAAGGAAAGGTTTTTTCAGTCTCTGACCAAACTCCTCATGGAATGCATTTTTCCGAGTACCCAGCTGGTGATTTCTACATTGAACTACAGCGCACGTTGTCAGAAATGCAGCACGTTTCTGCTAACCTGATCTGGTTTTTGTCTCTTCCACACAGGAAGAAGGTGTTAGATTTCTACCAGCGAGCCTGCCTCTCAGGGTACTGTTCTGCCTTTGCATACAAGCCAATGCATTGTGCCTTGTCCTCCCAGCTCAATGGCAAGTGCATAGAACTGGTGCAGGTCCCTGGGCAGAGCGCTATCTTCACATGCTGTGATCTCCCTGGGACAACGCCCATCAAACAGAGCAGTCGGAGGAATAGCTGGAGCTCAGATGGTATGTGTCTCCTGTGCTGTCTATAACAAGGCCTGCTGCTGGGCCAGGTGCTGGCTTTCTGATCAGTCTAGGGCTGTAAGAACACTGTTATTCAGAGCAGCAGATGGAAATTGAGAACTGAGGGTTTCTGCAGTAGATGTATTTCCAGAGGAAGTAATGATGTAGCAGCTGGTAGGTATGGTTCTCGTTAAGTTATTGAGGCTGGCAGAGAAATTCTTCCACTTGTGGGAAGTCTGTTCTCCCCCACGAAGGGGGCCTACAAGGAAGCTGAGAGGGGACTCTTTGCAAGGGCCTGTAGTGACAGGACAAGGGGTAACGGGGTTAAATTGAAAGTGGGGAGGGTTAGATTGGATATCAGGAAGAAGTTCTTCCCGGAGAGGGTGGGGAAGCACTGGGACAGGTTGCCCAGAGAAGCTGTGGATACCCCATCCCTGGGAGTGTCCAAGGCCAGGCTGGATGAGGCTTGGAGCAACCTGGTCTAGTGGAAGGTGTCCCTGCCCATGGCAGGGGGTGGAACTAGATGATCTTTTAAGGTCCTTTCCAACCCAAACCATGCTATGATTCTATGTTTCTTAGAGCAGGCAACTGAGAGTCAAGACTTCTGGGTATTCTGATACTTGGTTTGACGTTTGTATAATTTTATGGAAATGGTGTATGTTGGGCTTTTCAAAGGAATTAAATGTATGGAGGTATGCCACAGTTCTCCCTTGATGGATTTTGTTGCTGTGCTGAAGGAACTGATTCTCACCAGATGAACTGTACATCTCCTCCAGAACAGCAGTGGAAACTGAGGAAAAAAAGCACATACCGATACATAACTGCAGGAGGCTCTTTTGGAAAACCAGCCTTAGTCTCTTTCTGCCTCGGTCTCCCATTTTGTAAAATGTGAATAATGGGGTTTCCAGCAGCTGGGAGGCAGTTGCGACTGAGTGTTTTCAAAACACTTTTCAGTCCCACCGTGGCAAGCTTTGTAACTGTGTCAAGTGGTTTATTGTTTTGTTCCTCACACTGCATCCAGCTCCCAGTCACCACAGGCTTCTCTGGTGATGGTGAAGGAGTCCTGTCAAAGCGCCTTTGCGGGCTCTTTGGGGGTGACTGCAGTGTCCCTGGAGAGGACATGATCCAGTTCCCTTGCATCAGCCCCTCACACTCTGATGCCACTCTGCCTCAGCCAGACTAGCCATGTTGTTTAAGCACAGTGTGATGTGTTTAAATGCACATGTGAACATTATGCAGCATACATCCTTTATCTCTCTGCCTCAATTCCCTGTGACTGATCCCTGTCTTCTGTTTTGTCTTTTTTACTTTCCATGCTGTTTCACACCTGTATTCTTGGTCACGTATGTGGGGATGTCCTGAAACCGCTTCTGTGATTGGGTATGCTGGGACAAATGGCTGTCTCTTCATCTTTCCTTCTCTGTGTGTGTGTATCTGCATGTTTCTGTGTGTCTGGGTACTGTGTACCTGCCTGTTTTCTTGGTGGCTTCTCCCACCACGTGTACTTTGTCTGACACACATATGGCCCCTTGTGTCTCAATGTGATTGCGTGTTGTTTGCATGCCTGAAGAAGGGATTGGGGAAGTGATGGAGAAGGAAGACTGTATCCAGGCTCTGAGTGGACAGATCTTCATGGGAATGGTCTCATCTCAGTATCAGGCCCGTCTTGACATTGTCCGCCTCATTGATGGATTGGTCAATGCCTGCATTCGTTTTGTCTACTTCTCCCTGGAAGATGAGCTCAAAAGCAAGGTAAGCTCTCTTTGCTGAACCCCCTGAACTTGCCTGTCCCCTGGATGTCTGACTGGAGAGTTTAGCTCCGGTTCAATCTAAGGTTAATCTGATTCCGCTAGCTAATGGGTCCAGAAGGCACCTACGCTCCAATATGGCACTGGTCTGCGGTACTCTGGCCTGACAGCTACACTAAAACCTTTCGTCTGCTCGCCTACAGGTGTTTGCGGAGAAGATGGGTCTTGAGACTGGCTGGAATTGCCACATATCTTTAACGCCTAATGGTGATGTGCCTGGCTCAGAGATCCCTCCCTCTAGCCCCAGCCATGCTGGCTCTCTGCACGATGACCTACATCAGGGTGAGAGAACTGCACCTAAGCCACTTTGAATGCCACGTGTTTCCTGGAGGGTTCTTTTAAACCCATTCATAGGTTCCTGTGGCCTCACCAGATACCTGATCCTTCAGAGCTTTGAGCACAAAACTGGATGGGCCTGAGGTGTGTGTGTGTGTGTGAGCGAGAGCGCCTTACTTTTCTACTGTCATTACCACAGTTTTTGGAAACAAACATCCTTCTGTGCACCAGCTGCCATGATTTCACAACTGCTCATTAATGCTCTGGGGTCTTGTTGCGGCCCTTATCAAGTCACTGAGGGTCTCTTGCCTGTGCATTACTTTTTTTTCTTACTTCAGGTGGGATTTCTTTACTTTCTTCTTCCACTAGAAGGAGGGGAGAGCAGGGCAGATAAACTATCCTGGCTCAGAAGAACAGAGACTGAGCTCACCTAGCTGTGAGCAGATTAGTCATCTAAAGTACTGCATTTTAGATGACTGAGTGGGATCTGAGTGTCGCTAACCTAGAAAATCAGGCCTCACGTTTCCTGGCTGCTGCAGTGCCACGTGAATGTACCATGTGGGTGGCACAGGAGTGGCAGAGACAGGTTTTGTGCTTATTGTTTATGCCGCTTTTCTCTCCTCCAGTTTCTCGAGATGATGTGGAGGGGCTTCTGCTGATGGAAGAGGAAGGGCACTCGGATCTCATCAGCTTTCAGCCAACAGACAGCGATATCCCCAGCTTCCTGGAGGACTGTAACAGGGTGAGGCCCCCTCTCCCTACACACCTTGGGCTGTTGTCATGGTCAGCAGTATCACCTCACTACTCCCAGAGGGAATTTCTCTTCAAAGCAGATTGATTGACTGGTTTGCACTGGGACTCCTGATTTCCCCCACCCTCTTCCATCTTGCTGTCTAGAGGCTGGGAACTTTGGGATTCTCTCAGTTAATCACTGTTGCTGAATAGGACTTTTATTTGGAGGTTAGGAAAGGAGGTGACCACACATGGTCAGCCTTGAGAGACGCGTCTCCGTCCGTCTGGGTCCCCTTCCCACGTGCCGGGCGGGGAGTGGGAGCATCCCCACATTGCCTGCAGACAGAAGAACCTTTGTCTCTCCTCCAGCTGTGAGCCATGCTGTTGCTGCCCAGCAGCCAGAGTGTGGGACAAGCTTTTCTGCCTCATAAAGAACTCGGACACACTCAGCAGAGGTTACAGGAATATCAGAGACAGATGCAGATTTTTTAAGAAGTATCTATTAAGACTGGGTTTAGAAAGCAAGACCCCTTCCCTCGTGCGTTGATGTGGCAGCAAGTGAAATAGATCTACTTGCTGCAAGACAGCACAAAGTCTCTAACAAGATTTTCCTCATAGGTAAAAAGTCCTTAGGAATCCTTGAGCACAGGTTTGTCATGCTGATCTTACAAACCCTGAGGGCAACAGGCAGCTTGACCTGCCAGTGTAGAACTTCAGGAGAAGGCTTTTTACAGTGGCTTGGGAAAGGCAGCTTCTGTCTACGGGGACATCAGGTTGTATCTGATCTTGGGGTTGCATAATTCTGGGAATCATAATTCTCAGTTCAGCACTTGCCTCCGAAATGCCTCACCTTCACACACACGCGCCCCGACTTAGTCTTTTCTTTCTCGTTTTCAGGCCAAACTCCCACGGGGGATCCACCAGGTGAGACCTCACCTGCAGAACATAGACAACGTGCCTTTGCTGGTGCCCCTCTTCACAGACTGCACCCCGGAGAGTAAGTGGCACAGAGCCTGGGTCTGCCCTACTACTGCCCACCAGTACCTTCCCCACCCGTTCGCTCTGGCTCATCTGGGTGTGGACATGGGTGAAGGGAAGGGAACACAGTGCAGACATCTAGAAGGGCATTTGGATATTAGTGACCCTCTGTTGCTACCTGTGGGAAGCCAGATGTTAACTTCATTTTAATGCAGCTGTTCCCTACCTACCGCATTGGGCTAACTCCTTCCAATTTGCATTCGTGAGAGACACAAAAGCAAACATCCAAAATGCTACTGCCTTTTATTAAATAAGCATTATCAGTGTGCTAGGAGACTTTGATCTCTGCTCACAGCCCTTGCTGCCTTATAGAAGTTGGAAATCACGTCCCAGAAGAATTTTCCTCTGGCACTTGCTGTTAACACCTTCTGCTGCTTTGCAGAGCTTTTGATTGCAGAGACCAGAAAGGACAAAATCTGAGAGATACTATTTTATCTAAGAAAGGGCCTGAGTGCTCAGCTGGCTAATACCTGCCCAGTCTACAGTAAAAGTGCTAAGAATCATTATGATTTGGCATTTAGGTGCAGTTTACAGAGTGCCAGTGAGGACCAGTACAGCCCAGTCTGCCTCAGCAGACGGTGCCCAGTAGATTTCCTCTCTCATTTTGACAGAAGTGGCAGTTCCCCTCTTCATCTAACCCCTCCCTGTGCTGCAGGTCTGGGTGCACCAGCCATTCCTGTAAGTTATTTACACAGGAATCTGCAAAGGGTGGGTTGGTTTGTTGGTTGGTTTCTTTCCTGGAACATTCTAGAAAATTCCTATATGCACAGACCACTGTGCACGGAGATACAGGAGACAGATCAAACAGCAACTTTGATTTAGAGGCTCCAGGAGGGTGTTAATAAAGGGCTGATGAAGGCTAGAGGTAGTGGTGAGGGGCTGGCTCTGAGTATGGTCGGCAAGGGTCGCACTCCCTATGGAGTGGTTTGTTATATTCCCTCTGCTCCTTTAGATTTGGAACACTAGTCATGATTGTGTATTTATTTTAGGTTTGAATTATTTAGGTTTATGTAATTTCAGCTGTTTTCTAACAAGCCATTTGATGCTGAAGCTGTCTGTATTATTTCCCCGGGTTATGCCTACAGCTCTGCGATGTGCTAGAAACGCAGGTCTCTGGGTCACAGTTCTGTGAAGCTCAGCTCAGTTCCTGCAGGAGGCAGGTACACAGAGCACTTGGACTGCAATTAATTAGCTATCTAATTGTGTACTTGGACTTTGGATCTCACTATACGTGACTGATGAGTATTGGTTGGGGTAATTTTAGAGGATCCAACTGCTTGTTATCCAGACTGGAAAGGGTGTGTGGAACACTGCATCTTTGTGTGCATAATGAGAGAACAGTGTTTCTCCTTCTGTCCCCTTACAGCCATGTGTGAGATGATCAAGATCATGCAGGAGTACGGGGAGGTGACTTGCTGCCTGGGAAGCTCTGCCAACCTGCGGAACAGCTGCCTCTTCCTGCAAAGTGATATCAGGTGGGGCAGGATCCAGACTCCTCCTGGTGCCTTTGCCTTGAACTTAGTGAGTGCCCATCCAGGGGTCACACCAGACCTGGGGATTGTGCAGGGGGATACTCACAAGTGCTCTGTCCGTTATTAGCCACATTTGTCTCTGTACGGGGTGTTGGGGTAGTATCGGGTAGGTTGACTAGCTAGATCCATGGAGCACAGAGATGTTTCTCTCCATCTTTAAAAGGAGAGAAATCTCCTGCATGCTGAACTGTTGTGCACCAGCTGGCATTACAGATGCTTCTCATGGTGTGAAAGAGTGGTAATGCCCCTCTGGATCAGCTGATTTGTTGACCTTGAGCTGCAAACCCAGACATGTTCATTATTTCTCTGGGAATAACTGAAAGTCTAGGAAAGTTCAGCCTAAATTCATGTCACAGCTCAAGACACCTCTACCAGTGAGGTAGGTGGAAGTGACACGGCACCACCAGCATGACTTTGCAAGCTGGACTGCACTGAAACACAGTTTCTCCACCGGGATGAGGGCTTTCACTAACGCTCCTGTGTTGTCCTTGCAGTATAGCACTGGACCCTCTCTACCCATCTCGCTGCTCCTGGGAGACTTTTGGCTACGCCACCAGCACCACCATGACTCACGCCTCTGATGAGCTCACCCCGCTGCAGCTCTCAGGGCAGCTCAACAGCCTGCCTTGCTCCATGTCCTTCCGCCAAGAGGAGAGTACCAGCATCATCAGGCTTATAGAGCAGGTAAGCCAGGCATATCCCCCTGCCGTACTCAGCCCTCGGCCTGCAGCTAACAGAGAGGAAAGGCAGGAGCTCCTGTGAGCATTCTGGTTGCGTTGCCCACAGTAAGCATTAGCTTTGTTCATGTCTCCTGTCCTTTGTTCAAGAAGCACAACAGAGATGCTCTTCCTGCCTAGTGCTGCCAGTCCAAGGTGTAGGGGATGGTTTGGGAAAGTACCTTGTGGCAACAGAACATGAATAATAAGGTATAACCTTGCAGAGATCCCTAGCCAGGCAGCAACGCAGCGCTAGGGAGAAGCATTACCTGAGAAAAGCCAGGAGGTTTAGACAAACTCACCCCTTTTCTAAACTGTGCTTTTCCTTCACAATCTCTACACCCAAGCAGGAGACCTCTCCCTTTTGCTTACGCTGTGTCCAGCTGCTCTCCCCTCCCACTTCCCCTGCAGCCCACGTGTCCTGCCCCTGCCTGCCAGTAATTGCTCTTGGCTGATAACTGCTCCCATCACAGCGAGGGCTCTGAGGGCTTGTGTTTCCTTCCAGGCCAGGCATGCAACCTATGGGATCCGCAAGTGTTTCCTCTTCCTGCTGCAGTGCCAGCTGACCTTGGTTGTCATTCAGGTGAGTCCTGGCCTGGCTGGGGCCAGCACTCGGCTCGGAGGGCAGGAGTGCTAGCACGGATGTGGGTGGCTGCAGTGGGGGCAGCCTTGCGAGGGAGGAAGGTGGCCTTCAGTCAGGTTTACAGAGCTTGTCAGTGAAGTTACAGATGGAGGCTGTGTGATCTCAGCCTGCATTGTCCCTTCTCCCTGACCCTCCTACAGAGGTTTCTTTACAACCACTTTTTCCCTGGAGAAAAGCATTCCCTGCAGCACCTCCCCCAGCAGCCTGGAACATGTGGAGGGGCTGTGCAGTGACAGCCTAGTCACCAGCTCATCCCAGTGGTTTTGGGAGGAGGATGGTGGCATCTTGGGTAACAAGACTGTCCTAGCACTGCTCACGTTCCTCCCTCTGGATTGTTCCTGTCCAGTTCCTCTCCTGCCTGGTGCAGCTGCCTCCCATCCTCAGTACCACGGACATCGTGTGGCTCTCCTGTTTCTGCTACCCACTGCTCAGGTGAGTGTCGGGCAGGGTAGCATCTCCCACCTCCCACCCACAGGATGCACAACCAGTCCCCCAGTCTCACTGTGTCCTTGGTAAAAGAAAGCTGACATCACCCACAGCATGCTAAGGCGGCGGCAAGGCTTATTCCAAGCACCTGCTTTGACAAGGTGCTTGGGAACACAGATAGGAGCGTTTGTGTGCCACTGCCCTAGCCCTGCCTGCTGTCTGAGAGCTGCTAGTGTCTCGTGGCTTGGACTTCCAGCTGAAAGTCGTCTTCTAATACTGGTACTGTTGCACTAGGTGGAGTATGATGGAGAGCCTAGGGTGTCAGGCAGAGGCCAAGGTACCACGAGTGGGGTTTTTTTCCCCATCACACATTTGGAGGTCACTTCTCTCCCTGTCCGCGCTTGCCGTGAATGACACCTTTTACAGCACACGCTAAGGCCAATGCTCCAAGCAGTCCAAGGGTGTTATTTCAGTAAAAATTAGATACAGACAAGAAAGCAATAGTTCTGGTGCCTGAACTTGTTACTGAGAGACTAACTTACCTTTCTCCAGCGTCTCGCTCCTGGGCAAGCCTCCCCACAGCTCCATCATGACCATGGCAACAGGAAAAAACTTGAATTCCATTCCTAAGAAGGTAGGTAGCCCATCAGATTAAAATTGTTCACCTATTTTTCTCTTCTACTGTGTCCCAGTGCTGATGTGTAGCTGAGGCCCTGTGCCTTCCCATCTCCCTTGGTAAACTGATTCATGGCATGAGCCGTGCTATCCAAAAGCCTGGCGTGGACAGGAAGGGAATCCCTTAGTGCCAGCATGCCCACAGGGCAGATCCACAGCACAGCATCTCTCCTATACCACAGCGTGTCTTTTGCAGCCACTGATTCCCTGACGGTTCATGCGGGGCACGTTGGCCCAGTGACATGCCCATGTCATCCTCCTGCCTCTCCCTTGTTCGCAGACTCAGCATTACTTCCTGTTCTGCTTCTTGCTAAAATTCAGCCTGACCATCTGCTCCTGCCTCATCTGCTTCGGGTTCACGCTGCATGAGTCCTGCAGAGAGGTGAACACTACCAGCCTCAATCTCACAGCCTGCTCCTCCATCATGCTGCACAGGTGAGGAACTGAGCCTGGCACACACTCCTTGCCCTGCAGGGCCTGTTGTTCTTGCCCTTACCAGGTAGGGCCGATTCCCCTCTAACAGACTCCTGCATGATCCAGCTATAAAGGCCATGAAGGGGGCTGGATGCTTTCCCTATAGGAAAAGCATTTCCCTATAGGATGCTTGGCGTTGGCATCTTTGGGGCAGTTGCTCACTGTTGCCTCCTGGCCCTAGGACAGCCTGACTCCAAGCTCACACTTAGTTCTCTCGGCTGCCCCAGGAGGACATGAGCCTGGTGGGGACAGGTCCAGCAGCAAGTCCCCACTGTTGACTTCTCTCCTGTGTCCTCTCATTTATTAGCAATGCTGATGGTGCTCCTGACTGGTTTGGGACGTTTTCCAATGCTCTTCTTGTAGCCCAGAAACTCACAGCTGGCCTCGTTGTGTTACACACAGGTAAGTCCCTCTTCCCAGCCGTCCATTCCCCACTCCGGGAGAAAGCTTGCATCGTTGCCCCCTGTGCCAGAGCACAGACTCCCTGGTAGAAGCAGACGCTGCAGTGGTCTCAGCACGGGCATAAAGCCCCTTGTCTTGTTACGCATTGCCCTGAGAGGTTCAAGGCAGCACCTTCAGAGCTGCTGCTGTCTCCTACCAGCCTGGTAAAGTGCCGATTCCTTTCCAGCCTCACCAGAGGAGCAGCATCCCTCTTTGCCTTCTTACAAATGAGCTAGCAACATCCTGTATCTCCCCAAAAGCATTCCCTGCCTCAGAAGTCCTTATATGCCCGCTGCTGCTCTGTGAAGCACTCCATGCCCTTCCCCCAGACCGCACTGGTGCAACTGTGACTGCCCTGGAGTGGCAGCTGTTGTTAGACCCTCGGGAGGGATGGGGAGCCCGGCCCTGGGTGTCCCTCGTCACCGGCACACGATGGCCTGGCAGAGTGGGCCCAGCTGCTCGCTGACAAGGGGCTCTGCTCCCTTTGCACCGTGCCGTGTGGTGCTGTGCCTTGGTGCCGGGCACGTTGCACGTTGAGACGTGCAGGGTGCGCAGGCCGACAGCCACGCTTCCTGACTGGAGGGGGCAGCCCCGCTTTGCAGAGTGTGCATTGCTGGTTTCTGTGCCTCAGGCCCCGGAGGCTGGGCAGGGAGCTTCCCACGGGTGCAGGCACCCAGAGCCAAGGGCACCCACCCCGCTCCCTAGTTCTGGTCCTTTGCCTGGTGTGCTTTAGCCTGCCAGGCTGCGGACCAGCCTGGGCCTCCCCACAGTATCCTGCAGGGTCCTGCTGCTGCTCCCCCTGCCTCGCCTATTAGTGGGCTTGGAATTGCCTGGGGAGTCTGAAAGGGCCCTGGATGAAAGGTTGGTTTCAGGGACGTAGACCCCATATCCCTTCGGAGTAACGGCTGTTGGTGTGTGCTGTGTTGTATCTGGGTGCGATGCTAAATAACCCCCTTTTCCATCCGTTGCCGCAGTGTTCATATCCATCACCCACGTCCATCGCACCAAGCCGCTGTGGAAGAAGAGCCCCCTCTCCAACCGGTGGTGGACGCTCACCGTGGCTGTTGTGTGAGTATCCCCAGGCCCTGAGGAGGCGCTCCGGAGAAAGGAGGGCTCTAGGCCCGTTCCAGCCCCAGTTTGCTGGTCCTGAGGAAATTGATAATACATGGCAGGTGTTCTCCACCGCTGCATTGGTGAAGGGCCTCCGTTGTGAACTCGGGAGTGTTACGTCTGACCCTGAACCCTGTATCTGCAGATCCAGGGAAGCTTGTTAGCTCTGCTGAGATTTGCTGCGTGTTTTTGATCTTAGATTGCTGGGGCAAGTGGCACAGACCGCGCTGGACCTGAAACTCTGGGAAAACCTCAATTCTTCCTTGACCTTTAACCACGTTTCCATCTCCCCGGTCTCATGGCTCCTGGGTTTTCTTTCCTTGGTCCTTGTGGTTATCATCAATGAGATTGTCAAGCTGCATGAAATCAGGTATGGAGGGAGTAGGGAAGATGGGGAGAAAGGGGTGGAGCCTCGCTCCAGCCTGGCCTTGAGCTGCAGAAAAATGATGCACAGGGAACAGGGTGGGGAATGAGAGGAAAAGATGACTGCATTGTGTAAATCACCTGGCTATTGTGTGCAAACTCCTGTTCCACCTCTCGGGGAGGAAAGAGGGTCAGGGGAGGGCAGGGGCAGTGATTGGGAGCAGGAAGGGAGACCAAAATTTCCTTATCTCAGACCAATGAGAGGGAGACAGTCAACGTCTGTGAAATACCAGTACAGGATCGGAGAGGGCTGTTCTCTCCATCTCATCCCATGAGGACAGAGAGGCATTCAATCACAGCAGAGGAAATACGTCTTCACACAGTGCCTGGACTGTGGGACTCATTTTCACGGGAAGTGGCTGAAGCCAAGAATTAGCAGCAGGCAAAGTGACTGGCTGTTCTTCCTAGCACAGGGAGCAGCCGGAGCTGGGAGTTAACGCTAATGAGCATTGATTCAGGAAAGGGGTTGGTGAGGAAAGGCAGCGGGGATTACAGGGAACCCTGATGGGAACAGAGACAGTGGCTCTGTTCCTGGGAAGGGTTTCTGGACCTTTCACTGATGTGTCTCGTGGCCCTGGAGATGGGACTTGGCTGGATGGAGCAGGACTGAGACCATGGGTTACTCTCTGGATTCGTTTCCCATCCCAGGGTACCACAGGGCCTAGGCCAGGGGTTTCCATGCAGCTCGGGCATTGCAGTGGGGCAGCCTTGCTTGTCTTTCACCCCTCCACATGCTGACTCTGTTTTCTTCTGCCTTCCCCAGGGTTCGGGTCCGTTACCAAAAGAGGCAGAAGCTGCAGTTTGAAACAAAGCTGGGGATGAACTCGCCATTTTAAACACTCCCCGCTCGAGTTCCCTGGAGCCAGGGCCACACGGCCGCATCCCGCACTGGGAGAGTGGCTGCACCAAAGGCTCGGGGAGTTTTCCCTCCCACATGCTAACCAGAACCACATCGGCACCTTCCCGGGGGCCCCAGGCAGGGCAGTGCTACCAGGACCCCCCAGCAGGTATGCAGCCCCTCCCCGGCCTGCTAGGGACTCTCAAGGGAGCCTGCAAGCGCTGGCGGCTGTTGGGGCTGCTCTTCCTTTATTTATTTATTACTAGCGGTTTTTGTTAGTATCATGGTGATGCCGAAATGAAGCGACTCCTTCCCTCTGTGAGCAGACGGGTTTCCTGGACCTGGCAGGAGAATCTGGGGCCAGCAGGGGAGACACAGGGCTGCTGAAGGGAGGTTGAAACCCCTCGTCTTTGCCCACCGCCGCATGCTCTCCCGGGTGACGGGGGTCCGTGCCTGCCCTCACCCGCCTCCCTGTCCCCACGTCCTGGGGGGAAGGAGCTGTCTCTCCTGCAGCTTCAGGAGTGCTGGTTGCCATGTGAGGATTGGCGCTCACATTCCCAAGGGAACACTGGGAAGGGTCTCTGGCAGGGTGCTGGG